CAGTGTGCTTTTGTTGTTCAGTGTGTACAGAGTCTAATGCAGTGAGGTCCTGGTCTTTGAGTAGGGCTCCTAGGCACTGTAGTAATACAAATAATATGGGGTGCTTCCATTTTTGTTGGCTCCCATTGAGACACCATGAAGGAGCTAGATTTTCAGAGAACAGATGCTTAGTACTTTCTGAAAATTAGTACCCTTTAAGTTCATGATAAAAGGATATCAGCCATTTGCAAAAAAAGCTTCTTTTTGGAATTCTTTATAGAATATTGTTCCTAATCCCTTGTTGAAGGAAAAACTTTTAGCATGAAGAATGACAAATCTCTCATATATATATATTTTTTTTAATATTATATTAAAAAACCCATTTTCCTGAGGGACAGTGTGATGACATGCATCGCTGCGTCCTGCAGCCCCTCCCTCTACCCTCAAACACGTGGCCTTCCCCCGTGCTCCGTGGCCTCTAGCTGGGCCTGCCATGGAGAGACCTTGACCCACCCCAACCTTCCAGTGGCTGGAGGGAGAGAGCTGGCCCTGCCATGGAGAGGCTTTGATCTGTCTGGCCTAACCTCTGCCCCCCTCCCCCCCCCTTCCCCCAGTGGTTGGAGGGAGAGAGCCAGGTCTGCCACAAAGAGGACCTGGCCTGGCCCAGTCCAACTGCCTGGTGGCTGGGGAAGAGAGCTGTAGCTGCCGAGGCAGGTGTGGGGAGGAGAGAGCGCCTGGGCTTGTGTGGCCTTGGCCCTCACCGGAGGGTGGGGTGGAGAGCTGGGCCTGGCGTGCCCGGGGACAGGGTGGGAGAGGTAGCCAGGGCTGGTTGATGAGCACAGGAAGAGTAAGGACAGGACCGAACAGGGGAATCTTGGAGAGTCTGTGTAGGGTAATGAGTGGGAAACTGTGCATGTAGGGAGAAATAGACTTTTATGCTGCCCCAGACTGGAGTAAAGCAGGCAGAGCATATATTTCAAAGTACAGTAGACTTCCGATAATCTGGCACCTTTGGGACTTAGGTGGTGCCGGATTATCAGATATGTTGGAGTATCAGGAGGTACTATAAGGGGGCATACTCCCAACCCAATCCCCCTCCACCTTATGCTCATGTCCCGGAGCCGCCGGTACAGCTGTGCGTCTCTCTCCAGGCACTGGGGCATGTGCGCTGAGTGGCCGGCTTTTCAATGAGCTGGTCGGGACACCATGAGCAACCGAGTCCCCCTTTCCTTCTTTCCTTTCCCCAGGGCCAAACACCTTCCCTCCCTGCTGTCACCCAATACCACTTCTCTCCCCAGCCTTATGTCCGGGTCCTGAAGTGCGCTGGGGACTGTGAGCGGAACGGTGCAGGCTGTGAGCACCCATGTGGCTCACAGCAGCCCGGCCATGAGAGCAGCTGACCTGAGCAGTTCCGGGTTCCAGTTGATGCTGGGCTATCGAGTGCTGGACAACTGGATGCCGGACTATTGGAGTCTTACTATATTTCAAAGCTTACATTATGTATTTTCAGATAATTATCAATATCTCATAGTAAGAATCTTTTCATTTTTGTTTACTGCTCGTATGTTGTGTTTAATCATAAATTCCTTAATACAATTATATTAAATTGAAGGTAAGGTAAAGGTGTACTTATTCAAAAAACAAGCATTATAAATTAAGACAATGTATCTGAACAGAATGATCTGAATGTGTTGGTGTAACTTGGTCCATTGAAACAAAATACATTTTAAAATAACCAAATTCAAAGTTGTATATCTAGGAACAAAGAAGGAAGGCCTTGCTTGCAAAACTGGGGAATGCATCCTGGATAGCAGTAACCCTGAAAAGAATTTAGGGTTCATAGTGAACAAGCAACTCAGCCAAAGCTCCCAGAGCAATGCTGTGGCTAAAAAGGCTAATGAAATCATTTTCTAGGTTGGACCTCTGTAGCCTGGACTTCAGTCATCCAGCAACATCTGAGATTCAGCAAGCCTGTGGGTGCTCTGAGGCTGGAGCACTCATGGGGGGGAAAACCAGGCCCTGTGCACTGCAACTCCTACCATGCCCTCTGAAAGCTTCTGGAGATTCACTCAAGTAGCTCATTTGCAGTGCTTAAACTCAGGGAGAGAGGCGGAAGAGCAGGTACGGGGGTGAGGAGAGGAAGGGAATTTGGGGTAATAGTCAAGGTGCCTGCAGAATCCCTCAGCTAGGGGCTAGGAGCTCAGCCCAGTGGCCACGTGACTCAGTGCACTTTTGCAGGGCTGCAATCCTGGCCCCCAAATTTGGGACTCTGCAGCTACCATGCCTCTTCCCCTGAGTACCCCTTCCCTAGTCCCCACTTGATCAAGTCCAGCCTCTCTGCTGCCACTAAAGCAGTACTTCAGCCAGTGGTAGAAGGGGGGCTGGCATTGACCTCCCCTTCTCTGGCAAAACCCTTGGTTCAGGACTAGTCAGGTCACAAGAGTGCCAGACCAGGGAGGTGCAACCCGTATAATCGGGGACTAAAGAAATGATTTTTATTGCATTGTTGAGACACACTAGAATACTGCTTCCAGTTCTGGTGCCCACACTTTAAAAAGCATGTTGAAATATTGTAATGTGTGGAAAAGAACCACAACATCTACTTGAAAACTGGAGAAAATGCTTTAGGGTACGTCTACACTGCATCCCTAGTTCGGACTAGGGATGCAAATGGAGACGACCGAAGTAGTTAATGGAGTGGGGATTTAATCACAGCTGATTCGAACCAGGAAGTGCGCGCTGGGACGCTTTAGTTTGGACTAGAGCCCTATGATTAATGTGTACAACAGAACAGATTAAGCAGCTGTGATTTGAACTAGCGCGCCGGCGAGATCATGTTAATAAAGCGTGGGATATTTAAATCCCTGCTTCATTAACTACTTCGGTTGTCTCCATTTACATCCCTAGTTCAAACTAGGAATGCAGTGTAGACGTACCCTTAGTGAGAAATTTAGAGGTTCATCTGTTAATCTTGTTAGGAAGAAGATTGTGAGATTACTTAATTACAACATGTAATTAATTTAGTAGGGGAGAACATTCTAAGTGCAAAAGGGATCTTTGTTCTAGCAGGGAGAGGCATAATCAGAATCAATGGCTAGAAGCTAAGGACATACAAATTGCAGTTAGAATCGAGGCACAGATTTGTAATGATGAGGGTGAATGACAATTGGAACAAACAACCAAACACAGTGGGGAATTCTACCTCTCTGCAAATCAAGACTAAATGCCTTTTTGAATGGTGCCCTTTAATTTGGAGGCCAGATTAGATGACATAATTTCTTTCTGCCTTTAAAAAAATCTATGTAAACACAGGAAATCCAGAATTTAAGCTTAAGGCAGCCATGCTAAGGTGTGGAAATGAACAATGAAGCACCAACAACCTTAGTGCTGCCTTGTAGTGACACAGGGAAAAAGAGCTCGTTGTCTTTTCAGGTCTGCTTAATCTGTTCTGTTGTACGCCTTAATCTTAATTTGTTTTATTACATGTTATTGCTGTTGAACAAACTTCCAGTATCTTAGCTGTGCACTTCCATATATGTTTGCATATTTTTTGTTTAATCTTAACTCTGAATTTCCCGAGTTTATAGTGCTTGATTTAGGGATAATTGCAAAATCTCTGTAATACATCTTACTCTGAATTCTTCATCCGTTCTTTCGACCTTAAATCCAGGTTGAAGCCACATTATTTGGAAATCATGACAATAGCATGAGTAGTAGTAATAACTGGTGGTATAGTGGCACCCAGATGTTCCACTGATGGTTTGGGCCCCATTTCTGTAGGCAAGTGTTGGGAATCTGCAGCACAAGGGCCACATGCATCCCATCAGGTTCTATGTGTGACCTGAGACATTTTGTTTACTGTTGTCCGCATGCAGAGTTGCCAGATTCTGCAGGTTTCTGTCCATGTAGTTTTCCTACTGGTATTACTAAAGTGACATGCATGTGAAGTGGGGGGCATGCTGACTGCACATAATATCCACTGCAAGAACCGCGCACTCCCTTTGCATTCAATTAAAGCACTGCTTTGGTTCAATCTGTACACCTTACAAATTCTAGGTACGTGAGCGCAGTCAGTTCACTCTACACATTTTAAGTACATAAGCGCAGTTAGCAAAACTATTCTATCCTGAGAAACAGTTGTGGTTGAAACAATCTTGTGCCCCACTGAAATGATAGAGGGCCACTCATGAGGCCCACTCACTAGCCTTCATTGCCCATTGCTGCGCTAGAGCCTGTGCAAACGCACAGACTTTTTGATAGTCTTAGGTTTATTTGTAATTTTTAAACTTTTTACACTATACAGAATTTTGGTATTTGCTTGTGTATAGTCTATATCCAACTTTTTAAGACAAAATTATGGGAAATTTTAGCAGTTTATGCTTTCGTGTAGGATTCAATCACAAATCAAACTTTTGATGGAATTTTTTAACCAATGGTTTTTAGAAGTAATGTCAATGGTAAGAATTGTTGAGAAATACCTGTTCTCCCCTTCCTCCCCCCATAATACATACTTTGTATGTAATAACCCTACGTACAGTGAGTTTCACTGTTTACCCAATTCCCCTTTATCATGTGGTCTTCTAACAACCAGCTTGATAAAACATTGTTTTTAAAAATAGGAGGATTTCTGCTATGTGTGATAACCTGAAACTCCTTTTAACTCAGGCTTAGATTGGAAATGTTTCAGGTTGAAGTTGTGTCTTTGATCTATTTGCATATTTCTTTGGCCCAAAGTATTTTATTTTTTTTTTCTTGGAAAGCTATGAACAGTTCACTTGAGACCCATGTTAGTAATTAACTGTCATCAATTGCAGTGGACTGGCAGCTGGAGAAGATAATGGACAGAGAGGTTACATGCTGACATTTGTCATCGCTTATCTTCGGGTAGGTCACTCTTTTTCTCTACTGCTTTGGTGTGACTATTTCTGTACCCAACAAATCATATAGAAACCCTATATTTTTTTTTCAAATCCTTTATGCAGATTTTCTTCAGACTTGAAAAATATTAGTCAAAACTCTCCAATCTCTATACCCAGGGCTCGACAAATCTGCTTATCTACTCGCCTGTGGCGAGTAGATTTCAGCCAGTCACCCCGTTCACCGGTGGTGCGCGGACGTATAGTGTGGGGCTGGCACATGCACAGTGTGGGACTGGCGAGTGGGTTTTCACCGCAGTCGTTGAGCCCTGTCTATGCCCCTTCTGTTTCTTTCTTTCCCTTCATGCATCTGATGAAATGAGTTGCAACTCAAAGCTTATGCCATAATAAAATTATTAGGGTTTTGTAAGGTGCCACTGGCTCCTTGTTTTTGCTGACGTAGACTAACTTTGCTACTTCTGAAACCTTTCTCTAGGGACTCTGCATTTTCTATGTGGATATACATTTAAAGAGACAATCCGAGCTAATGTTTTATAGGACCAGCTTCTGTTTGTGAAAGGAATAAGCTTTCAGGCTTATGCAAAACTCTTCTTCAGCTTCTGGGAAACTCACTCAGTGTGTTTTTGCAAATCAGTTAAAAGTCCATGATTTTTTGTGTCTACAAAGTTTTGCTAGACATATGCCTATCACAACATTGCAGCTTATCCAGTGCACTGAATGCCCCAATAGTAACTGTATTAGTGAAACAAGACAATCACTAGGCTTTCAGATGAATTCACACAGGAAAATAAGATAAAAAATATCACATTACCTGTGGTGAGCCCTTCTCTCAAAGTGATCACTCTACATCTGACATCTTAGTCCTCATCCTCACAGAATACCTACATAGCACTTTAAAAAGATGGGCCTGGGAGTTTAAATTTGTAACTCTGATAGGTAGTGAAAGTGATGGACTGAATATAGGCACTGGATTTAAGACTTATTAAAACAATCTGTAACCCACTAACAAACTCCACCATAGCTGTTCTCCACCCACTTTCCTACCCTATGACTGTAGAATGTTAACAGGTCACTTCACCTTGCGTGGTCTCTTGAAATGTGTTAACTACCTGCAAAGTGTTCCACCTTGCATTCACCAATGGCGCGCTAAGGCTTTCCCTATACTACACAGCTTTTAATAACATAACTGTGTTGACACAGTTTTCACTAAAAGTCAGGGGCTACGTCTAGACTGGCATGATTTTGTGGAAATACTTTTAACAGAAAAACTTTTCTGTTAAAAGTATTTCCGCAAAAGAGCATCAAGATTGGCAAGGGTGCTTTTGCGCAAAAGCATCCATGCCAATCTAGATGCACTTTTGCGCAAGAAAGCTCCGATGGCTATTTTAGCCATTGAGCTTTCTTGTGCAAAAAATTAAGGTGCCTGTCTACACTGGCCCTCTTGCGCAAGTATTCTTGTGCAAGAGGGCTTATCCCTGAGCGGGAGCGGGAGCGGGAAAGTATTTGCGCAAGCAGTACTGATTTTGTACATTACAAAGTCAGTGCTCTTGCACAAATTCAAGCGGCCAGTGTAGACAGCTAGCAAGTTTTTGTGCAAAAGCAGCTGCTTTTGTCGCAAAATCTGGCCAGTCTAGATGCACCCAGGCAGTATAGAGGCTATTTGTCAGCTCTTTTGCTGGCATACTTTCTGCCCAATGTACGAAATGTCATACTTTCTGCCCAATGTCAGTATGGGAGTACTCCTGCCAACAACACACTGTTCACACTGGCACTTGCTGCAGCAAAACTTTTTTTCTCTCTTTTTTTTTTCGGTGGAGGGAGGTAGGAGGGCAGAGTTTAGCACTTCTGAATGACAAACATTTTATTGATCAATTGCTGGTGTTGACATTGCCTGAAATTCCAAAATCTGGAGAAAAGCCACGTGTAAAAAGCTCATCTCTTGCAAACACAAGTTGGTCCACTAAAAGAGATTCTCACCCACCTTGTCTCTTTAATATTTTGGGACCACATAGCACCTACATATATTTGGCATTTATTTCAGACTTAGACTTTTAAACCACTGTACAAACATTCCTCTCCATCTCCCTTTTTTTTTCCAGACTGGTGAATTAATTTAATTGAAATTCTTAATGGACTGACCCTTAGAGGTTCTAAGCATATATGTTTCCCATTGACTTTTGGGAGGTGGAGGTGCCTCTGAAAATTCAGCCGTAAGTGACTTTCCCCTAGTCACAAATCGAGTCAGTGATAGAACCAGGATTAGTACCCAAGAGTTCCTGGCTCCCAGCTACAAGTTCAGTATTCCAACGCTGTTTTTAATTGTAGGATTTAAGCATATTTAAAAGACAATTGTTGAGTGAGAGAGGACAGACAACCTTATGGTTAAGAATTTGGTTTGGGATTTGAGAGATCTTAGTTCAGTTTCAAGCTTCTGAATTTGTCTATGGCTTGGGGTAAATCACTTATTTTACAGTTGGGGAGCTGAAATTGGGGATAAATACAGCCTTTCTACTACCCTTTCTCTTGTCTATTTAAATGGCAAGCTCTTACAGCCAGGGGCTGTCTTCATAGTTCCGAGCTCAATAGGGTCCTAATCTTAGTTAGTGCCTCAGGTGCTATCATAATAATAACCAGTAAGCAATAATTACTTGCTGTCTAGGCACACCAGTAGTTGGGTATGCCTTTCCACTATAGAGATGCTATTATTACTTTGCATTTCTCAGTCATCTTTGTCGTGGAGAATCTAGCCTATTTCCTCCACTGTAAATTACTTGACTTCAAGGTCCCATGTTAGTTAGCATTCTTGCAGCTGAAACAGGATGGACTTTCTCCATGTCTTCATCTTCAGTTTTGGGCTGGGGACAGTGCAGGGAACTTCTTTGTAAGCCACAAGAAAACTCCTTAGACAAGGGAGAGGGAATGTGTGGGACAGATCCAGCCTCCATCTTCCTTGATCTGGCCCATCAGACTTGAGGTGAACAGTAAGGAGCCAGTGTTCAAGCCTCTGCGTGTTAGCTCTGACTGAAGTCGGGGGAGGAAGTGGTTCTGTATGCTGCTGTTCTCCCTACTCCTGGCTGGGGGGAAATGGCAGCATAAGGAAATTAGTGCGGGGGTCTACAGGCTTCTTTCCCACTGTTCCCATTGGCCATGATTCCTGGGGCAAGCCCTGACCCTCCCTTTCTCTCATGGGGCTGGAGCACAAAGGGGAATCCTGGTGCCACAAGCTGCATGAGCAAAGCAAGTGTCTTTTTTTCTTAGTTGTGAGCTGTGTTGGTGAGGGTGTGTTTGGGGGGTTTTTTTTGCTTCTCACTTGTGTGTTACCCCTGACTAATTTTTGTCAGATCCAGCCCTGTCTTAAATTTACCTTAGAAAAGAGAGACTCCTATTTTTAAAGGCTAAGACTTTGTAATCCTCTATTGTTTTCCATTCACATTGCCAATAATTCAGTATGATGAGTTAATATCTGGCCTTGGAAACACACATATAGCTGTTGCTGTTACTCAGAGATGTGCATACCTATGGCGATACACAGCTGGACAAAATACTATATATTGTAGGTGTTCAGACTGAGTGTTTCATTCTAGTAGAAATGCCTAAAATACGATTCAGAGTTTTTAAAAACTAACTTTCAAATATATGTCTATTAAATTTCCCTTTCACTATTATGAGCAGTTACTGAGCCTTCTTCAGAAGGCATTTTGGAAATAGGTTTTTGGGAATGTAAGTAGCAAAAGTCAGAATTTTCTTCCTACATTATGATGCCAGGGTTTCAAAATTGCAAATGTACTATATAATACTGTTTTCCATTTATATTTTATCCCATAATCTTTGTGGGAGACATGAGCCTTCTGTAAGCAGTTGCACCTTTTATGTTTTATACATGTGCATAATATAAAGTATGCAATCTTTATATCACTTGTTTAATATTTACTTGTATCAACATGAATTTAGTCCACTTTTACATTATCAGCATTTAGTTCATCCTTTCAGTCTTCCTTTTTTCTATTTTATAATGTGACAAAGAGTGGCACTTAATTAGTCCCCATCTCACATTTGTTGTCCAGCTAGTAACAATACTTAATCTTCATAGGATGGCTGCTGTGATTATCTTTTGATGGTATACATTCTGAAACTTTTATAATAACCAGGGCTCGACAAATCATTGAATCTACTCGCCCGTGGCGAGTAGATTTTAGCCAGTTGCCCCGTTCACCAGCAGCGCGTGCATGCGCAATGCGGGTCTTGCGCATGCACAGTGCGGGGCTGGACCGCAGATTTCGCCGCCGTTTGTCAAACCCTGACAATAACCACAATTGTGCTGCTTTTGTCTTCTACATTACATTATCTAGTTGTTCTTGATTCTAGTCTTTCTTCCTTTTTCAGAGACCTAATTTGAGAATATTTCTCTTGGCTTTCTATCTAGCTCTCTAGTAAAGCTTTTTAATTGTTTTCATTTCTAATCTCATTTTTCAACTTTAAAAATTAAAGTTAACCTTTTCTTTTTACTAGCATTTGGGGAGTTTATCTTTTGTTTTTTTGACTGCTACTTAATTACTGGATTGATAGTCTTGAAAACTGAAGTCTCCTAATCGCTGGATGTATACAGCACAGGAACTGACAATTATTTTGTGAAATTATAGACTCATAGACGCATAGACTTTAAGGTCAGAAGGGACCATTATGATCATCTAGTCTGACCCCCGGCACAGTGCAGGCCACAAAATCTCACCCACCCCTCCTAGAATAATCCTCTCACCTATATCTCAGATATTGAAGCCTTCAAATACTTTGAAGACCCTAAGATGCAGAGAATCCTCTAGCTGTGATCTGTACCCCATGCTAACAGAGGAAGGCGAAAAACCTCCAGGGCCTCTGCCAATCTACCCTGGAGGAAAATTCCTTCCCGACCCCAAATATGGCGATCAGCTAAACCCTGAGCATGTGGGCAAGACTCACCAGCCAGACACCTAGAAAGTTCTCTCAAGTAACTCCCATCATCCCTCCATTGACCTATTTCCCACTGATAATGAATGGTCAATTAGTTACCAAGATCATGTTATCTCATCAAACCATCCCCTTCATAAACCCATCTAGTTTAATCTTGAAACCAGATAGATCTTTTGCCCCCACTACTTCTCTTGGAAGGCCGTTCCAGAACTTCACTCCTCTAATGGTTAGAAACCTTCGTCTAATCTCAAGTCTAAACTTCCTACTAGCCAGCTTATATCCATTTGTTCTTGTGTCCACATTGGTATTAAACTTAAATAATTCCTCTCCCTCCCTGGTATTTATCCCTCTAATATATTTAAAAAGTGCAATCATGTCCCCCCTCAGCCTTCTTTTGGTTAAAGTAAACAAGCCAAGCTCCTTGAGTCTCCTTTCATAAGACAGGTTTTCCATTCCTCGGATCATCCTAGTGGCCCTTCTTTGTACCTGTTCCAGTTTGAATTCATCTTTCTTAAACATGGGAGACCAGAACTGCACACAGTATTCCAAATGGGGTCTCACCAATGCCTTGTATAATGGAACTAACACCTCCTTATCCCTGCTGGAAATACCTCGCCTAATACATCCCAAGACCGTATTAGCCTTTTTCACGGCCATGTCGCAATAGCGGCTCATAGTCATCCTATAATCAGCAAGAACTCCGAGGTCTTTCTCCTCCTCCGTTACTTCCAACTGATGTGTCCCCAGCTTATAACTAAAATTCTTGTTATTAATCCCTAAATGCATAACCTTACACTTCTCACTATTAAATTTCATCCTATTGCTATCACTCCAATTTACAAGATCATCCAGATCTTCCTGTATGATATCCCGATCCTTTTCTGAATTGGCAATAGCTCCCAACTTTGTGTCATCTGCAAATTTTATTAGGACACTTCCACTTTTGGTGCCAAGATCAGCAATAAAAAGATTAAATAAAATTTGCCCCAACACTGATCCCTGAGGAACTCCGCTAGTAACCTTCCTCCAACCTGACAGTTCACCTTTCAGTATGACCCGCTGTAGTCTCCCCTTTAACCAGTTGCTTATCCACCTCTCAACTTTCATATTAATCCCTATCTTTTCCAATTTAACCAATAATTCCCCATGTGGTACTGTATCAAATGCCTTACTAAAGTCGAGGTAGATTAGATTCACTGCATTTCCTTTATCTAAAAAATCTGTTACTTTCTCAAAAAAGGAGATCAGGTTGGTTTGGCACGATCTACCTTTTGTAAAACCATGTTGTAATTTGTCCCAATTGCCATTAGCCTCAATGTCTCTAACTACTTTCTCCTTCAAAATTTTTTCCAGGATCTTACATACTACAGATGTCAAACTAACAGGCCTATAGTTACCCGGGTCGCTTTTTTCCCCTTTCTTAAAAATTGGAACTATATTAGCAATTCTCCAGTCAAATGGTACAACCCCTGAGTTTAGAGATTTATTAAAAAATTTTGTGTTCATGTGCCAGTTCCTTTAATATTCTTGGATGAAGACCATCTGGGCCCCCCGATTTACTCCCATTAAGCTGTTCAAGTTTGGCTTTCACCTTGGATATGGTAATATCTACCTCCTTATCCTCAGTCCCATTTGTTAACTTACCATTATCCTAAGATCTTCATTAGCCTCATAAAGACTGAAGCAAAATATTTGTTCAAATATTGGGCCATTCCTAGGTTATCCTTAACCTCCACTCCATCCTTAGTAATTAATGGTCCTACTTCTTTTTTTTTTGTTTTTTTTCCTATTCATATGGCTATAAAACCTTTTACTATTGGTTTTAATTCCCTTTGCAAGGTCCAACTCTACCTGACTTTTAGCCTTTCTCACTTTATCCCTACATGCTCTAACCTCAATAAGGTAGCTTTCTTTACTGATCCCTCCCATTTTCCACTCCTTATATGCTTTCTGCTTTTTCTTAATCCCCTCTCTGAGATGCTTGCTCATCCAGCTTGGTCTAACACACCTGCCTATAAATTTTTTCCCTTTTCTAGGGATACAGGCTTCTGACAGCTTCTGCAACTTTAACTTAAAATAATTCCAGGCCTCCTCCACTTTAAGATCCATAATTTCTTTAGTCCAATCAACTTCCCTAACGAATTTCCTTAATTTACTAAAGTTAGCCCTTTTGAAATCAAAAACCCTAGTCTCAGATTTATTTTTGTTTATCCTTCCATTTAATTTAAACTGAATTAGCTCATGATCACTCGAGCCAAGGTTGTCTCCTACAACCATTTCATCTATGAGGTCCTCGCTACTCACCAAAACCAAATCTAAAATAGCATCCCCCCTTGTTGGTTCAGCAACTACTTGATGAAGGAATTCATCAGCTATCACATCTAGGAAAATCTGAGCCCTATTACTATTACTAGCACTTGTTCTCCAGTCTATATCTGGAAAGTTGAAATCTCCCATAATTACACAATACTCATGGAAACTTACTTCATTAAAAACATTAAAGAGGTCTCTATCCATATCCAAATTGGATCCTGGTGGTCTATAACACACCCCAAGCACTATCCCAGGGGAGGATCTGATAGTTTTCTTCCCCAATGTGATTTTTGCCCAAACGGACTCTGTCTTCTCCATTCCATCATTTTTTATTTCTTTACAATCTACCTCATCTTTGATATACAATGCGACTCCACCACCTTTACCCTTATTTCTGTTTTTCCTAAACAGCACATACCCTTCAATACCTGTACTCCAGTCATGGGATCCACCATGTTTCTGTTACTCCTATAATATCTGGTTTCACTTCCTGGACCAATAGCTCTAGTTCCTCCTTTTTGTTACCTAGGCTCCTCGCATTGGTGTACAAACATCTTAATTTTTGCTGTTTGGCCTCATTCACATTCTTTCCCCAATTTGGCACGGATGTTATACCTCCAATATGACCTTTTAGACTAGTATCCACCCCACCCTTCCTCATGTTCATTCTCCTACCCCCAGCTATATCCTTTCTTACTTCGTTTTCCTCCCTCTCAGTGTTAAAATCTGGCGTAGAGATTACCTGGGCATCTCCCAACCGTCTCCCCCAAATTCCTAGTTTAAAGCTTTCTTAATAAGTTGAGCCAGCCTCCGCCCTAGAATTCTATTTCCCTCCCTACTTAGGTGAAGTCCATCTCTAGAGAACAGTCCTCTGTCCATAAATGCCTCCCAGTGACCATACATCCCAAAGCCCTCCTTATAGCACCACTGCCTAAGCCATCTATTGATCATCATAATCCTGTCACATCTTTGTTGCCCTTCTCTAGGAACAGGCAGAATTCCACTAAAGATCACCTGAGCCTCAATTTCCTTGAGCATCCTCCCCAGCCTAGCATAGTCTCCCTTAATTCGTTCCAGCGAGAATCTAGCCGTATCATTTGTTCCTACATGAAGGATGATCAATGGATTCCTTCCTGCTCCCTTAATAATTCTCTTCAACCTCAGTTCCACATCTCATATCTTAGCACCTGGCAGGCAGTACACCCTTCTGTTCTCTGGATCATCTCTGGTTACAGGCCTATCTATTCTTCTCAATAAGGAGTCCCCAATCACATAGACCTGCCTTTTCCTAGTGACAGTGAAATTCTCTGGTCTATCTCTAGCTTCCTCTGGCTGCAAGTCCTTGCCATTCCTATTTTCCCTTGTAATCCTAATGCTCATTATTGGTGTTGTCTCCATTAAGTCTTCCCCTTTATCTATGGAACTAGCCACTCTTCTCTTCTTCCTTACCCTTCCATCTTCATTATCTACCTGCTGTACCCCTTCTTCATTTTCCAGCTCCACATACCTGTTCTTGAGCTCTATTTTTCCTTCACTAACCCATCTTTTCCTCTGCCTGGTCCTCTGAGTCACATGCTTCCACTGTCCATTTTCTTCGCCCAACAGTCCCCCCTCTGAGGCCCTAGATCCTGCTTCCATCTGCATATTTAAGCTTTCCCCTTCAGCCACGTCATGCCTTTGCCCCATCATCTGCTCAAACCCCCTTCTAAACTCGACCATAGTTTCCACCCGCATCTCCAGTCCTCGGATCTTTTCTTCCATCAGCTCTATCAGGCGGCACTTCATGCAAACAAAACTCCTTACAGGTACCCTCTCCAGAATCATGTACATACCGCAGCTACCACATCCAATCAACCTGAAGGAATTATTTCTAAGCATGGGAATGTGGTTGGTAATTTCCATGTCCATTCACTTGGTCAGCCTCTGTTGAGACAGATAAAAAGTATGCTTTTGTGAGTAGCAGTGATTTTGGTTTTTTTGTGATAGAAATATTTGTTCACTAAGAAATGAGAACAATGCCATTAACTTGTTAAAGATAGTTACCACTGAATGATGTCTAACCTGCCAGTTATGGTGAGATTTGTACCATTTGCCTAAAAATGAAAAGTCTGCATCTCATTACTGGTCTTTCAGCAGAGTTCCTAATATTTAAAACTTAGTTTTGGTCCCAGTGTATTCTTTGGTTTTTGATACATATATATCTTTGCCAAATCTGTCTTCTATGTAAAAATCACACAATGCAATGATCCTCAGTCTAGTAGCTACCTAAAGCAAATTAGAACCCTAAGGCTAAAGATGCACATTGACACTAATTCACTGATCCTTTCCTTTCTTTTTATTCTTTAATAGGACCTGGGCCTGGATTACTATGTCATAGGAGAATCATTTGAGACTTCTGTTCCTTGGGATAGGTAAAATAGTTGTATTCTTTTTAAAGTATCTATTAAAGCTTGTAATGGATATCTATTAATATTATTATCTTGTAATGGATATCAATTTTGTCTTTGTAAAAACAAAGCTTTTTTCTTTTGGTTTAGATAGCTAGGAATTTGCAAGTGTGTATACATGAAGCATAAACAGCCATTACTTAAGCAAGAAGACACTCTAAGCTATGTTAATATGAGCTACATGCTTCACAATGGCTCAAGTGTAAAACTGTATTGGAATTGTTGGGTTAGAAGTGACACTGAGATTGCAAATTAATGAATATTAAAAGTAAAATGTAGAATCAGAGCCATATACTACTACAAACTTTATATACATAACCATTCTAAGGCATAAAATATTTATTCTACAATCTTGCTCATTTAGGATTGTTGGTCTGCAAGGTGACAGTTCTGGTCTTTAAGTTGCTCTTACTCTTTAAAATCAAACACGAGACTTCTTTTAATGTTCATTCTTAAATCAAAATCGATAACAAATATATCAAATAGACTGTTAAAGAGGTAACAGTAACTCTTCTCCTGCAATGTGTCAGCTTTGTGCTGCCTTGGTAATGTAAAAGGGCTTTGAAGCCAGTTTGACTAGCTGGATTTCCCTGGCACAAGGGAGACAACCCCTTCCTACAGCCCAGCCAGGGCGCTTGGCTAGTACATCCTTTGACCAAGGGTGGGCAATAACTTTCACAGGGGAGGCCACTTCACAAATTGTGATAGGTTGTCATGGGGTGTCATTTCTACTGTATTAATGGGCGGGGTGAGGGATCTGGGAGGGAGTTTGGGTGCATTAGGAAACTCGAGGCTGGGGGGGATTGACGTACAGGGTTTGGCTGAAGCGGGCGGGGAGGGGGTCTGTCTTGGGGCAGATGGATGGGGCACAAGGTTCAGGCTCTGGCAGGGAAGTGCTTACCACAACGGGTTCCCAGCTGATACGGCCCCATGCTGCTCCCAGAAGCAACTGGCTACTGTTGGCATGTCTCTGTGCTTCCCTTGGAGGTGGGGGTAGAGGCTAGAGTCTGTGTGCTGCACACAGCCACAAGCACAGTCTCCAAAGCTCTCATTGGCCATTTTCCAGTTAATGTTAGCTGTGAGGAAGATGTTGGTGCTGGGGGCAGAAGCTATGTGTGGAACTGCCTCTCCCCTGCCAGGGGCACAGAGGCATGCCAGCAACAGCTGGCTGCTTCTGGGAGCAGCATGGGGTCTGAGACTTCTAACAGCCCAGAGATCATGAGGGGGGTAGCTAAAGAGCTACATCAGGTTCTGGAGCTACAGATTTCCAACCCTTGTTGTAGTAGTTTTCTCAATTGCCAGGAGTCATGGCAGGCTGAACAGAAATGTTAGATGGGCTGGTTTTGGCCCATGGACCATATTTTGCTCATCCTACCTTAGATCCTTAGATGTCTCCTTGGGCAGCTGTCAGCCAATATATGTTACATTTACATCAGGAGCATAACTCAGTGCAGATATCTGTCTCCCCAGATTTATTCTCTTTCCAGTCTAATCTTCACCTGAGCTCTTGGCCACAATTGACAGTTAGGCCAGAACATATTTAAATCAGTTACATCACAGTTGAAATCTCCAGAATTTAGCCTATTAATATCACAGTTGAAATCTCCAGAATTTAGCCTATTTTGTACATTTTCTTTTCTTAAAAAAAAAATCCTTTTCGTCCACATGTTAAACAGGTTTATTAGTGTTGGTTCCCTGATAGTTTGATTATAGAGTTAATAGATTAAGTTTGAAAAGATTTACATGTGCTCAGAATCCCAACAAACCCAATATCGTGGTTCTTGGATTTAACAGCTGCTGTACTACAGTTTTGGTCCTTGTTGAAGAGGACCAAAAGGTGTGAGTGGCATGAAGGATTTTAAAACAACTTGAATTTATTTCTCTCACAGAAATCTAATGTTAACAAATATGAAGGTATCCAATCATAGTTAGACTTCTCTCATTTTCACTTTTATAATTTGGTTAGCAGAGCAGAATGAACCTATTTTTTCCACTCGTGCTCACCTACAAACTCCTTATTTCCATTATTGGCACTGGTATCTGTACATTCCTTCAAAGACTCTACCAGCATTACATTGCAGATTGGCTGAGAGAAGACCTTTGAACAAAATTATTTTAATGTCAATCATCCCTCCCTCAAATCCAATTTTTCCCCAAATACATCTCTATAGAAAACTTCTAAATTAAACAATTTTTTAGAATAGTATTTCTCTAGTTGCGTGTGAGCGCCTTACTGGAGTGACTTAAAAAAACGTTTGAGGGGTAGCTGAGTTAGTCTGTACAAGAAACTTAAAAAAAAAAAAAAGAAGTCTGGTAGCACTTTTAAAAACATGTAGATGGTATAATGTATCATGACCTTTCGTGGGCACAGCCCATTTCTTCAAATGACCAGAGTGTTGGCTATCCAGAACCAAAAATGAATAAGGAAGGGGGGAGAGGGAGTTAAAAATGGGAGGTGGGGGGCGGGGAGAGGCAGTGGGTATATAAATATCAAAGGGAAAGCCAAGCTAGCATATAACAGGCAAAATTGATAGTCTAAAGCACCTAAAGAGTGGATAGTTAAAAGAAGCAGCTAAGAAACAATGAAGGTGCCAATGGCTCTTTCGGTAGAATCTAGTGTTAGTACTCTTCCTCAAAAAACAGGACTGTGTAGCGCATTAAAGACTAACAAGATGGTTTAATATGTGATGAGCTTTGAGGAAGTGGGTCTGGCCCACAAAAGCTCATCACATATTAAACCATCTTGTTAGTCTTTAATGCGCTACACAGTCCTGTTTTTTGAGGAAGAGTACTAACACTAGATTCTACCGAAAGAGCCATTGGCACCTTCATTGTTTGATTGGTGGATAATGTCCCAGCCATCCTGTATCTCGATCACATTACTGGATGTGCAGTTAAATGAGCCTCTCATTTGGTGGTGTACATGGCTGGCTCCAGTGATGAATTCGCTTGAATAGGTATGTGGGCAGAGTTGGCACCCGGGCTGATTGCAGGGCTGGGTTCCCGGATGCTTATGATGCAGCTGTGTAGCATAGTTACTGGAAAGAATTCCTTCAAATTCTTTCCAGTAACCAAGCTATCCGTTTTGCCTGTTACATACTAGCTCGACTTTCCCTTTAATGCTCATATACCCACTGCCTCTTCTTATATACCCATTCCCATTTTTTCCCTCTCCCTCCCCTTCCCTATTTATTTTTGGTTCTGGACATCCAACACTCTGGTTATCTGAAGAAATGGGCTGTGCCCACAAAAGCTCATGATACAATCTACATGTTTTGTTAGTTTAAAAAACCAAAACTTTTCAGATTGTTTCAAAGTTTTGAATGTACCTGGATCAGTTGCAGAGAAGAGCAATAATATTAAGTAAAAGTAAATAATAACTATTACTAGTTTTATTACTGTTACTAATAATTTAATGCCAAATTATCACTGTAATATGATTCTAGCTCGTAAATTAGTACATATCTTCAACATCTGGAAGAATTCCTTCTACTTCAACCTTGCAACATATCAAAGAGAAGATACAGTAAACTTCTGATAATCCGGCACCTTTAGGACCCAGGGGGTGCCAGATTATCAGATATGCCGGAGTACCGGAAGGGGAGCTATGAAGGGTGGAGGAGGGGGTGGGGGGGACTGCACAGCGTGGGAGAGGGCGACGCTGCGGGACCA